TATATATATATATATATATATATATATATATATATATATATACATTGATCTCTTTCTTTCTTATTCTCCTTAAAACTGCTACTTTTCTTCTATCGATTACGCGTTACAAGTGAGCGAGTAACCCCTTTACTGACGAAACATAAGGCTGTCAAAGCGTCACTTCTGCTTTAATGTTTCCACGATTCCTCGATTAGTCAATAGTCATAATAAAAACATAGCTGGAAATGAACATAGCTGGTCGGGAATTTTTATTAACTATCGATCGTCGAATGGTAAAACAGTATCGAGTGTGTACTGAAATCAAGCTTGAGAAAAAAGCATTATGTAACTATTGCAATTAAGTAAGGGAGAGGGAAGCAAATAGTGACAGGAGCCAAATAGTGACAGTTTAAATTTCTCCTGTTTCGCGCGTCTATGCTAATACTATCAATAACGAGCAAGTTCTCGAACATCTAATCATCTTTGAAAAAAATGATTAAACTGCTAAGCTAAACATAGCTAATAAAGAAGCCTAAAATTTTGGTCTTTATGAAACAAGATAAAATCTGATTCTTATTTAGGTATTTCTATTTAGATTGTTTTGACTTTTGAACCCCTAAATGAGATTTTACCTGTTCAGCGTTGTACGATATGTGTTTCTTCTAGTGCGATCTAACCTTTATATGTATATATCAATTCGTTTATTGTTTTAAGTGTCTTAAAGGAAGATGCAACTTCTGGGAAAGAGTGATAAATTTTAAGTAACGTTATTTGCCTTATTCAATGTTAATTGAATTGCATTTCTTCCCATTTATTTTGTTGGGTGTAATTTAAAAGCCATTAAACTAGGTTTAAATACAGAAAATATTAATAAGTAATTTGAAAAATCATTTTTCAAAAGCACGTTATATTATTTCACTAAAATTAGATTTTATACATCATTTGTTTTAATAAAATTCTTACATATGGCAGTAAAGAAATTATATTTAAATTTTTATTTAGTCACACACATCGTCAAAAGAGAGACTGAATGAACGTTCAGGACTGTTTTTCATGATTGTCACCATTTGCTCCACACTGGGGCAAATAGTGACAAAATGCAGATTTTAGTTTCTATGAAAATCTAGTTATTCCATATGACTTATGACTTATTTTGTTAAGTTTTTCGTATAACTGAAGGTGGAAAGTATCGTTTTAGTAAAATATCCGATCTCGACAACTTGAAAATAGCATACACGAGGGAGAAAAAAATCCATCACTATTTGCCCCATCCTCCCTTACAATTTTTGCACACGATATTCCGTATCTCATCGGCGCCGACGAGACCCGCGGATACGTCGATGCGACCATGCGGGACGAGGCAATTGCTGTCGCGTGTGTGCGCGCTCACGAGCGAGCATAATTAAACGTGTAGAAATTGCTTAATAATCCTAATCGCTTGTCAGGCAAAGCTGTGTCAATTTACCTCGATGTTTCGTATCCGCGAGCAGACTACGTGACGCACTAGACTTCATACACACATAGGACATATGCATGCCTGGTTCGAGATAAACCGCTGCAAGCTAATGGCATTAAAATGTCTCACGACTAATTCCCTACGGATTTATACAGGGTGTCTGACATTTAATGACTTGACCGTTGGGCGCAAATAGAACTCATTAAGCTGAACACAAAATTTCTCTACCATCTCGCAAATAACCACATAAAATCTCGCGTTATTAATTAAAGAAGATTGATCGCGCTGAATAATTGCGCGTGATATGGTAGATGGAGTTGTGATCGACGGCAATATCTGCCGTGTGTTGTACATTAGGTTAAACTACAAAGTCTCCTATCATTTTGTCCTCGTAGTTTTTTCGTTATTAATTAAAGAAGATTAGCACATGATTGTACGCACGATAATGTGTACTAATCTTCTTTATATAATATATATGTATTATTATAATGTATATATATATATAGTATATATATATAGTATATTATAGTATATATTATAGTATATATATGTATATTATAATATTAATTAATAACTATATATATTCAGTTATTAATTACATACAGCGTGATTCAGAACAACTTTTTTTTAATATTAAAAGTATAATATTTTGACAAAATTCTATGACATTTTTTCCTTTGGCAAAACTTCGGTAAACGTGTAATTGTAAAGTTATTACCAAAAATAGTTACCCTATTACAGGCTGGGACCACTGAGAGAAAAATGTATGATATTTATGAACTATAATGGCATAGTAAAAAGATTATAGTTAGGAATATCTTTTTTATCGTAAATATCACCATAATGTTTGTAATATTTACAATATAAGCATAGTATAACTAACTCATGTAAAACTTTTACCAAGAATTATAATTATTTGAAATAAAAAACATAGTAAGATAGCAAATATTAAATGGTAAGAGAAATTAACTATTTTATATAGTCAATACAATTGGAATATTTGGAAAATATGGGTACATATAACTATATTCTCAAAGCGTGCCTTATTATACACATAGAGTAATAAAATGGTGACTATAAATGTGTATTTATTCTGCTATATCTTCGTTTTTGGATGAACTATAAATATATGTTTGAGGCCAAAACGAACTATAAAATATAGTGAGATTATAGTTATTCCAACTATTTTTTTCTCTCAGTGGATCAAAAAAGATAAACAGGGGCGGCGCAACTCACCGTAACACGTGGTCGGGTGCCCGCTGCAG